CCATGGTTAAATGGTGAGTGGTCCTGGCCAGTTACATACTTCAGTTTGCTTTCTGAGAAGGCAAACTGACCCAAGTGAATCATATGAATCAGTTTGCAGTGCTTGTGGAAGGTTAAATATACATACATTTTTATTCTGTATGTTCATGAATATCTATTAGAAAGTCACCAAATAGTCCCCAAGGGCATAAATCTCCAGGGTGTAGGAAAGGAGATGATGGCAGTGATGTTGACTGAATTTTAGAGTGTCTGAAATAAAGAGAGAAACTTATGTCACAGGCCAAGTGAATATGGAAGCTGTGTCTTATGAAAGAGGCCACCAAGGAGCGTCACTTGTGTGCTGTGCCTTCGTGGAAGGTTTAGGAGTCAGAAGCACCAGTTACTCTTGAACCACTGAAGAAGGTAGTGCTGGTGCTGTAAGGGTTTGTGGTGTGTGTGTGTGTGTATGTGTGTGTGTGTGTGTGTGTGTTGAGAGTGTTCGTGGTGATTGGACAGAATATCTGTTTTTCAAAAACCTTGTACATTACCACACTTTTTGACTTTTCTTGTCAGAATTTTTTTGTGTGTATATAATTCATTCAATTATGAATCAGATGAAGTTTCATCTTAACTCATTTATATTTTCTGCAATTTTTCCATTTGAATCTCTGCCTACTTTTAATGTTTTTGTCTCTGATATTCAAATCCACATTTTTCAACCCATCATATATTTACACATCTTCACCCATTTTTTAAAGACTTGATTTTTTTGAGTAGTTTTAGGTCACACCGAATTGAGAGCAATTTACAGAGCTGTCTCACATATCTGCCCTACCCCCCATCTCGCCTCAGCCTCCCCCAGAATGGTACACTTGATACAGCAGTGAACTACACTCCCACATCATACCAATGCCCATGGTTAATTATGGATCACCTTATATCATCTGGGTTTGGACAAATGCATAATGACATAAATCTCCCATTATAGGATCATATAGAATACTCTCATTTCCTTAAACCTCCTCCAAAGTTGTTAAAATAATTTGGCCTCCAAATATAATTTTTATGAGGATAGCAAAGGTATATAAGCCCTTTTATTTAGGAAAAAAGTGAGTGCACTAGTACATGGGCCTGCAAGTAGGATGTTAAAATATTGAGATAGTTTGCATATATGCTTTGGATTACAAACTGTATTTGTGATCTGTTCCATATTAATAGGATATTGAAATTTTACTCTTTGATTATTGTTCTGGGGCTGCCATAACAAATAGCCACAGACTCTGTGTTTCAAGGAGGAGAGATTTATTTGCTCTCAGTTCTGGAGGCTGGAAGACCAAGGTCAAAGTTTCAGCAGGATTTGTTCTCCTGAGGCCTCTCTCCTTGTTGTGAGATGATGTTTTTCACTGAGTCACCTCATGGTCTTCCACTGAAGATGTGCAAGTCTGTGCCCAAATGTTCTCCTCTGCTAAGAACATGAGTCATTTTGAAGTGGAGACCACCTTCATTTACCTTAGTTACTTCTTTAATGACCCTGTCTTTAAATACCATCACATTCTGAGGTTCTTAGAGTCAGGGGTTCAACATACTAATTTTGGGTGGGACACAAGTCAGTTCATAATAACTCTCCAAGCACCTGTTAAAGTCTTCCTGATCCAACCTTCTATGGAATTCTGGTGCATGAAATGATCAGACATAATTCCAGTGATGAGATGTCCCTGTCTTCTCCAAAGTGTGTTTCTAGAGGAATTAGGAACATTCATTGATGAATAATTCTTAAAACATTCCAAATTATAAAATAATGGAAGTAGAGAGACCAATGATAAAAAATCGAAAACTGTTATTTGGATAACAGGCTTCTTTCTCCTCTGCTCTCTTAAGGTATGAAATTTTCTCATTTTTAATTTCCTTCTTTTCTTTAGCTATCTTCAATTATTCTTGATACTTTGTTCCTGCCTATTTTCCTTTCTTTCCCAGATTGTTTTCTGTGTGAATGCTCTTTTTTTCCTTTTTTTTTTAAACATTAGTCTTTCTTTCACCCTGTGGGCACAGATTGAAACTCTGTAGGAGCTAATAACATGGCTGAGTAACTTGCTATTCTCTGCACTCCTCCTCT